GGACGGCAGTGCCTGGGGGCCGGCGGCCGGTAGCCCGGAGGTCCGGCGCGCGTCCCTAGGAGCCTGGGGCCGAGCCGGGGCCGGGATGTCCTGGGACTGCGCGCCAGGAAGCCCCTTCCTGGGCAGAAGTGGGGCGCTGCGTGCGCCCTGGGGGTCTCCCGCACCGAGCTGCCTCCACTCCCTGGAACCAGCCGCCAGAGTGTGGACGAGCTGCAGGCGGCCCGTCGGGTCCGGGAGAGGCCGCCTCAGCCTCGCCCACCCGTGTCTTGGGCCCCACCTGATGCGCCGGCCAGAGCTAGGGCGGGAACCCGGGCGGGACCCGCGCGTCCGGCCAGGCGGCCTTCCCGGGCAAGGGACCAAGCCTTCAGCTCCTTGCGCAACCAACTAGCAGGATGCGCAGTTCGGGCTGGGATTCGCTCAATAGAAAAGCAGAGCTCGACGGTCAAGTCACCGGATTGCAAGTGACCATCACCCTGGCGGCCCCAGGGCTTGGGACAGCATCCTAATGGAGTCCCCGCACTGTGCAGAGGATGACCGCTCCCATGCGCGCACGTTCTCTCTGCTAATGTCGCTACTCAAAACGTTCACAGAACGCGGTAACTGACACATGCCCAGGCCAGAGCCTTTAGGGCGTCTGTGTCCTAGTCGCTGACAATCCATACAAAAGTCAGCTCCTAAATCCTGTCATAACCAACCTCCTTTTCTTTCGCTTCCCTGTGCCTTTTTTCTCTGTTCTCTCCTTGGGAACATGGCAGGCTTTATCCCCAACCTCTCCGCTGGCCTCATCCCAGGCTGATCCAGCCTCCATATACACACAGCCCTCTTCCATATCTTTCTGAGAAGCAACCTGGCCTGCTCCTCCTACTTGGAAATGTGTGCTGGCTGGAGGTGCCTGAAGTCGGCATTTGGACTTGGCACACCTAGCTTCAGAACAACCACTGTTGGACCTCCTCCTCCTCAGTCTCCCAGGAAACTGTAGCTTGTCACCAGGGTTAGCGGACATCCCACTGCACCTTGCTGACGACGTTTTCACTTTGCTCCTCTATCACACTGTTTCTGTGTTGCCTTGTATTTGTCTACAAGAAGTAAGGCAGAACAGTGGTGAGGGGAGTCAGGTCTGTGGCTATCCTTGCTGGTTGGAATCCTGCTTGCTCCTTAATCTTAGTTAGCCGAGTCACTTAGCTATGCCTCCCTTTCCTCATCCTAAAAATGAGAATAGTTATAGTGCCTATGTTACAGGATTAAATGGGACAAAACAGGTAAAGGGCTTTAAACTGTACTTGAAATATAGTGTTAAATAAAATCTCCCTCTCTAGACTTGAAGGGCCTTAATGGCAGAACCCAGAGAGTGCGCTGTAAATGTTGAACTGATCATCCTAGACCTTATCTGCAGTCTCCTTCTTCTTTTCCTATAACTGACAAGAAATCACTCCCAACTGCCATCTTCTCTCTGGGATTTGCCCTAAATTATCTTTTAAATGGCCTTGTATCCCTAGTTGGGCATATTCAGAACATGTGTTTCTAGCAGCCCCAGTCTGTGGCTATGAGAAGAGAAAGACCAGATTACAGCTGACTGCCTTCTCTTGGGTTGTGTTCACTCGACTAGGAGAATGTGCTCCTATTCCTCGATGCCCAGATTTCCTTAATTATTTTTCTTTTTTTTTTCTTTGTTTGAGTCATGATCTCACTCTATCACCCAGGCTGGAGTAAAGTGGCACCATCATAGCTCACTACAACCTTGAGTTCCTGGCTCAGGCGATCCTTCCACATCAGCCTTCTGAGTAGCTGGGACTACAGGCATGCATCAACATGCAAGGCTAATTTTTTAATTTTTAGCTTCTTATTTTTTTGTAGAGACAAGGTCTCACTATGTTGCCCAAGCTGGTCTCGAACTCCTGCCTCAAGTAATCCTCCTGCCTCAGCCTCCCAAAGTGCTAGGATTACAAGCATGAGCCACTGTGCACAGCCTCTTTCTTTTTTTTATACTGCTGCTGGTCAGAATGTATGAAGAAGTGAGAATTGCCTGTGAGGACTCAAAAGGTGAATATAACAATCATTTCTCACATTTCTTAGGGCAGCATATCTGAGTGTTCCATATACACCCGAGGGAAATTCATAGCTGTTATAACAACAACAAAAAGATTGGTCCCCAAGTCACATACCTGTGGGGAATGCTGAGTTCCATACAGGAAAAAGGTTTCCATAAAGTCCTCAGAGCCTTTGATAAGCTAATATGCATCGTCACAGTCTGAGAAGAAAGTAAGATCTGCAGCTTTACCCCAGCTTTGTTGATTACTCCCCCATCCCAACCTACACACAAACCCAGCGCCACACTGAATTTGGCCATGACAGGCCTAACTTCCAGGAAATGCTCTTGCTCTGGCCTCTTGCTTGTTCTTTACATTTGTTTATAGTTTCTTTCATCATATAAAAGTTTAAGTTTTCGATATTGTCAATTTTACTTGTTGTTATAATGTAACTTAAAATTTTACTTGTTACATTTCTATCATCCTAGAAAGTTTTCCGTGCAATTTATTGATAGAAGAAAAGACAATTGAGGTATTTTATTAATATATCGTTTTTACCTTTACTTCTAAAAATAAAGACAGTTCCCTAAGTTCATACAGATCTTTTCTTACAAAACTTTTTCTAAAATTTTGTCATATCTAGGTAATTTGTTAAGATAGTTGTTTTATCTTTCCCTGCTGATGTACAATGAAAATTGTGTAACAGATTAAATTTTTAAAATTAATTTATTTATTTAAATTTTTTGAGACAGGGTCTCGCTCCGTTGCCCAGGCTGAAGTGCAGTGGCATGATCATACATCACCACAGCCTCAAACTCTTACGTTTTAAAAAAAATTTTGTTGAGATGCGGTCTTGCTATGTTGCCCAGGCTGGTCTCAAACTCCTGGCAATCCTCCTGACAGTTCTGGGATTACAGGCTTGAGCCACCATCACCTGGTATACATTCTACATTTCTATGTATGTGTGTCTAGGTGTACAGGTTGTGCATCAGTTAGGATTAGGTTCAGTTGCTTCAACAAGATAGAAGCTTCTTCCTTTCTTACATTGCCCAGTTAGGCATTCGAGGGTTTATGTGCTCTGTAGACACCTTCCACTGTTGTGTGGCCTTGAGTGGACTTGCCCTCATGATCCAACATGGCAATATCTGCACTCCAGGCAGCAAAAGGGAGTGATAGCAATACAGAGCAAACGGGCAAACTCTCACATGATTCCAGAAGCTGCTATGTGACACTTCAAGTGCTTCTCTCCTATGAGCCAGAGCCGGGAAATGGGGTCTTTAGTCTGGCTATCGTGTGCACAGCTAAAAATGCCATAGAATGTTAGAGGAGGAGAGCAGATGTTGAACGACCACAGGCATTTCTGCCAAGTCTGTTTCTGGGCTATTCTGTTCCAGTGAGATGTCTGAAAAAATTTTTCAATACTTTAAAATTTCTGTTTATTTATGGGAAAATTAAAAATAAGAAATGGCAAGCCAGAAAATCATCAGCTATACACCACCATTCAGAATCAACCACAGAGAATTACTTACGCTATGCCCCTCTTTTTTAGAAAAATTGAATGGTTTTCTTAAAATGATATATATACATTCAGAATAATTCAAACAATACAGAAAAATTGAAATTATCCTAATCCCACCACCCAGAAATGACCATCATGAACATTACACTTCTGTCATCCTAGAAAGCTTTCTGTGCAAGTTACTGATAGAAGAAAAGACAATTGAGATAGTGTAGTAAAATTTGAGTCATAATACAGATGCTATTGAAATAAAAAGTATTAAATTTAATCTCACTTGAATTTAAAGGAAGAAAAAGTTGAAGTGAAACTGAAGGAAGAGTTGAAGCTCAAAGCATGTTTCGTGACCACAGAGATATTACTTCCTGAAAGATACCTTAAAGATACCTAAAAGCCTCCTTAAAAGTTAAGCAAAAATTGTGGAAAACATTGCGAGGTTAAAGTTATTTTCTTTTTCTTTTTTTTTTTTCTTTTGAGTTGGAGTCTCACTCTGTCGCCCAGACTGGAGAGCAGTGGCATGCTCCCGGCCACCGCAGCCTCGACCTGCTGGGCTGTGGCAATCCTTCCTCCTCAGCCTTCCAAGTAGCCGGAACTACAGGTGTGCGCTACCACGCCTGGCTAATTTTTTTGATTTTATTGTAGAGATGAGGTCTCGCCAAGTTGCCCAGGCGAGTCTTGAACCCGTGGGCTCAGAAAATCCTCTCACCTCAACCTCCCAAAACACTGGGATTACAGGTTGAGCCACCAAACTCTGCTTAGAGTTATTTTCTTAAATTACACATTTCAATTATACATGAGTGTGTGTACACATTACTTTGAAAAATTACTTCTCATGATTCTTTCCATCTCCTCTGACCTGCCTCCTAACTTTAATTGGGTACTACTGTTACATTGTCTAGGTTTATAATACTCATATTCTGTTCTGTAAACATAATTACATAATTATTTGCTATGCATTCTAAATTTTTAAGACTTCAGTGCTCATCACTGGTTCTTTTATCAAGGCTTTTCCATTTACAAATTCTTTGTTTCAATCTATAGCTCTTTTTTTTTTCTTTCTTTTTCCTTTTCTTTTTTTTTTTTTTTTTTTTTTGAGTCAGGGTCTCACTCTGTCGCCTAGGCTGGAGGGCAGGGGCACAAGGCTCACCATAGCCTTGACCTCCTGGACTTCAGTGACCCTTCTGCCTCAGCCTCCTAAGTAGCTGAGACTACAGGCATGCGCCACTACACCCAGCTGATATTTTATTTACTGTAGAGATAACATGTCACTATGTTGCCTAGGCTGGTCTCGAACTCCTGGGCTCAAGCAATCCTCTCGTCTCAGCCTCCCAAAGTGCTGAGACTACTGGCATGAGCCACCGCACCTGGTTCATTTCTTAATGGACTAAATTTAATTGTTAAGCTGTTTTCCCAAGAAGGGTTTTGGATGTTTAAGAATTTCTCTGTTGCCTCTTCACTGGAACCACAACTTGACTGAGTATATGTTCTTGAGTCTCACCTTTTCCACAGAATGTGGCAGGCTTTGCTCCTTTTTCTTCTGGGAAGATGTCTGAGTCCAGCCTGAATTCCCTCGTATATGACTTTTTTTTTTCTGCCTAGATGCCTAAATAAGTCACTGTTTGTTAGGGTACGGAGGGTGAAGGTGGATGGATGGATGCGGAGGGAAGCAGCACCACTGGAGCTGGGATGCTGGAGGTGCATGCTGGCAACCAGAGATCTGAGTAATGCAAAGATTTGCAACACACAAAGAAGTGAAAGAAGAAAAGATTTATTTAAGAAAGAGATCACCCCCCCCCCCCCCGCCTTAAAACCTTTTCCCTGGAGATGTTGCAATCAGGTAGACTTGACTGCCGTGGCTTCTTTTTGACCACTTGCAGATATCTTGGAAACCCTGAGGGGGGTCCTGGTCACCATGCACCGAGTATACAATGGGTCGATACTGGTCATGCTTGAGAAACTTGAGTTTCTAAAAAGACAAATTACAATAGG